TAAGGAAAATGACCTTCACGTTTGCGTCGCCCTTTAGAGAAATAATTACCTTTAGAGTCTACCCTAATGAAACCTAAAATCTCACTCCCTCGCTTTCTCCTTCTGATAGACTAGCTTGCGCATCTTCTCTTTGGCACTCATTCGACAGACGGAAAGTCTCTTAGGCGGTCTGAGGATACCAGCTTCGCGGGAACCCTAGTCTTTCTTATTATCATTACTTGGCTGACTGTTACGTATTATTTCCATTGTTTAGTCTCCAAAGCGAGCTTCGATAAGAATAGGGATTTGAAATGATACAAATTCCTCTTCATTCTGTTGTGCTCAGCTGGTGAACCTGCTGCTCCGGAGAGGCGTGATGTGGCTCAACTTGGCCACATGATGCTTGGAGCTTTGCTGACAAAGGAGCCTGCTAAGCAGGTTATTCAAGACAAGCCTAACCTTGCTCAAATGGGTCAGAATTTACTTGGTGCTGTGATGGGCAAGGAGCCCAGATTGAAGGAGAAAGGGTCCTTGTTCGTCGATGCTAAGCTGAATGGACAGTCCGTCCGCATCACGGTGGACACCGGGGCAACCCACAACTTTGTGACTGAAGCAAAGGCTAAATCACCTGGCCTTGTGTTTAGTCCTAACAATTCTTTGCTGAAGACAGTCAACGCCAATCTCCCCAACGTCAACGGAGTTGCTCGCAATGTGCAGCTCAACTTAGGTGCCTGACAGGGGTGCATTAACTTCTTCGTTGCACCCCATGGACGTATTTGATATTGTTCTTGGTCTGGACTACTGGGATGAAGTCATGGCTTCCATTTCTCCTGGTCTTAACCAGATTTACATTTGGGATCCGAGGGGTCCTTGTGTGGTACCAACTGTTCGTGTGCCGCAAGCCGTGGGTCAATTGTCCGCGATACAGATTGTGAAGGGCTTCAAGAGAGGAGAAGCCACATTTTTAGCTGCTGTTTCAGAGATTGAAGAGGACAAGGTTGATGAAGCCTTGCCCCCTTGTGTGCAGCAAGTTCTTGAGGTGAACAAGGATAATAGGCACATTATTGAGACTGCTCGCACACTTCTCATTGAATCTCATGTTCCGCTGCGTTTTTGGGGCGATGCAGTTCTCACAGCTTGTTATTTAGTTAATCGGATGCCTTCCTCTCCCATCCAGAATCAGATACCGTATGCAGTATTTTTTTCCCCAATCACCCGTATACTCTGTTCCCCCTCGTGTTTTTGGGAGCACTTGTTTCGTTCATAACCTAGCCCCTGGGAAAGATAAGTTAGCTCCTCGTGCTCTCAAGTGTGTCTTCCTTGGTTATTCTCGTGTTCAGAAGGGATATCGTTGTTACTCACTTGATCTTCGTAGGTACTTTATGTCCTCTGACGTCACATTTTTGAGTCTAAACCTTTCTTTACCTCTTCTGACCTTTCTGACCCCCTTGATATATCTGAGGTCTTACCTATACCGACCTTTAAGGAGTCTACTATAGCTCCTCCTTCACCTTCCGCCACAGAAGTCTTACCCGAGTCTCCTATAGCTCCTCCTTCACCTTCCGCTATAGAAGTCTTATCCATTCCAGCCTTTAGGAGTCTAGTGTGGCTCCTCCTAGACTCCCTGCCACAGGAGCACCACTTTTGACATATATCGTCGTCCGCGCCCAGCATCAGGTCCAGCTGATTCACGTCCTGCACCTGACCCTGCTAATACTGCGGACTTGTCTCCTCTTAATCAACCGATTGCACTTCGGAAAGGTATACGGGCCACCCTTAATCCTAATCCCCATTATGTCGGTTTGAGTTATCATCGTTTGTCATCACCCTATTATGCTTTTCTATGTTCTTTGTCCTCTGTTTCCATCCCTAAGTCTACAGGTGAAGCACTGTCTCATCCCGGATGGCGACAGGCTATGATTGACGAGATGTCTGCTTTACATACGAGTGGTACTTGGGAGCTTGTTCCTCTTCCTTCAGGTAAATCGACTGTTGGTTGTCGTTGGGTGTATGCAGTCAAAGTTGGTCCAGGTTGATCGACTTAAGGCTCGTCTTGGTGCCAAAGGATATACTCAGATATTTGGACTCGATTACAGTGATACCTTTTCTCCCGTGGCTAAAATTGCATCAGTCCGCCTTTTTCTATCCATGGCTGCTGTTTGCCATTGGCCTCTCTATCAGTTGGACATTAAGAATGCTTTTCTTCACGGTGACCTTGAGGATGAGGTTTATATGGAGCAACCACCTGGTTTTGTTGCTCAGGGGGGAGTCTAGTGGCCTTGTATGTTGGTTGCGCCGGTCCCTCTATGGTCTAAAGCAGTCTCCTTGAGCCTGGTTTGGTAAGTTCAGCACAGTTATTCAGGAGTTTGGCATGACTCGTAGTGAAGCTGATCACTCTGTATTTTATCGACATTCTACTTCAAATCTCTGTATTTATCTGGTCGTTTATGTTGACGATATTGTTATTACCGGCAATGATCAGGATGGTATTAGTAAGTTGAAGCAACATCTCTTTCAGCACTTTCAGACTAAGGATCTGGGCAGATTAAAATATTTTCTAGGTATTGAGGTCGCTCAGTCTAGCTCAGGTATTATGATCTCACAACGGAAGTATGCCTTAGATATTCTTGAGGAGACAGGAATGACAAGTTGTAGACCTGTTGACACTCCGATGGATCCGAATTCTAAATTTCTGCCAGGACAGGGGGAGCCTCTTAGCGATCCCGCAAGATATAGGCGGTTGGTTGGTAAATTAAATTACCTTACAGTGACTAGACCTGACATTTCCTTTTTTGTGAGTGTTGTGAGTCAGTTTATGGATTCTCCGTGTGATAGTCATTGGGATGCAGTTGTTCGCATTCTTCGGTATATAATATCAGCTCCAGGCAAATGTTTATTGTTTGAGGGTCGAGGCCATGAGCAGATCGTTGGATACTCAGATGCTGATTGGGTAGGATCACCTTCTGATAGACGTTCTACGTCTGGATATTGTGTCTTGGTAGGAGGAAATTTGGTGTCCTGGAAGAGCAAGAAACAGAATGTGGTTGCTCGGTCTAGTGCAGAAGCAGAATATCGAGCGATGGCTATGGCGACATGTGAGCTAATTTGGATCAAACAGTTGCTCAAGGAGTTGAAATTTGGTGAGATTAGTCAGATGGGACTTGTGTGTGATAATCAAGCTGCTCTTCATATTGTGTCAAATCCAGTGTTCCATGAGAGAACTAAACACATTGAGATTGACTGTCACTTTGTTAGAGAAAAGATACTCTCGGGAGATATTGCTACAAAGTTTGTGAAGTCGAATAATCAGCTTGCAGATATTTTCACCAAGTCCCTCACTGGTCCTCGTATTAACTACATATGTAACAAGCTCGGTACATATGATTTATATGCACCAGCTTGAGGGGGAGTGTTAGAATAGTCATGTAAATAGGAGTAAATAAATAACCCTAATCCAATATATATTAGGAGTAGGACATGTTATGTGTGTATATATATAGGGCTCATTGTAACATATGTCAATACATCAATAATATATTTTCTCCCGTGCTTTCTCACAGATGTTATGCCCGAAGAACTTCCCAAATGTTTGCCACCACGTAGGGAAGTTGATCATCAAATAGAGCTGATTCAGGGAGCAAAGTCACCCGCCATGGGTCCGTATCGCATGGCGCCTCCAGAATTGGAGGAATTGAGGAAGCAACTGAAGGAGCTGCTTGAAGCGGGACATGTTAGACCGTCAAAGGCACCATTTGGAGCACCAGTCTTGTTCCAAAAGAAGCAAGGTGGGTCATTACGATTGTGCATAGACTATCGTGCTCTCAACAAAGTCACGGTGAAAGAACAAATATCCAATCCCTTTGATAGCAGATTTGTTTGATCGTCTTGGCCAAGCCAAGGTGTTTAGCAAGATGGATTTGGGGAAAGGATACTATCAAGTTCGCATAGCCGAAGGAGATGAACCAAGACGACTTGTGTAACACGTTATGGAGCTTTTGAATGGTTGGTGATGCCGTTTGGTTTAACCAACGCCCCCGCAACTTTCTGCACGTTGATGAACAAGCTGTTCCATCCCTTTTTGGATCAGTTTGCGGTCATCTACCACATCTATCTAGATGACATTGTGATTTATAGCAGATGCGGTCATCGACCACCGCCATGATTGTGCCGAAGCCTTCCGAGTTTGGCAAACACGTAATGAAATCCATTGTGACGTTGTCCCATGGTTTTTCTGCCACGGGTAAAGGCTCAAGCAAACCTCCCGGTACCTTGTGTTCAACTTTGTCTTGTTGGCACACAAGACACGTTCGGACGTAAACTTCAATATCATCCCTCATATGCGCCAATAATATGATGACTCCAATAACGCCAAAGTGCGCTTTTGGCCTGGATGTCCTGCCCAAACTGTGTCGTGCCCCTCTTTGATTAATGTGCGCTTAAGGTTGCCCCACTTAGGCACAAAAATACGCCTGCCGGTGGTGTACAGAAGTCCATCTTCCACCCAAAACTTCTTTGTCTTGCCTTGACTGGCCAAGTCAAGAAGCTGCTTCGCCACCGGATCATGCTGCATCCCTTGCTTGATTGCATCAAGAATATCACTGTTGGTCATGCTAACAATTGGCGCCAGCACGGCCTTCCGGCTCAACGCGTCGGCAACAACATTGGCTTTCGCCGATTTGTACTCCAAGGAATAATCAAACTCCGCCAAGAAGTCCTGCCACCTTGCTTGCTTAGGTGACAACTTCTTTTGAGACTGGAAATAACTTGTCGCCACGTTATCCGTTTTGACAATAAAATGAGCTCCCAGCAAATAATGACGCCAAGTCCTTAGACAATGAACCACTGTCGTCATTTCTTTCTCTTGGACAGTTTAATGATGCTCAGCATCATTCAATTTACTGCTCTCAAAGGCTATTGGATGGCCCTCTTGCATTAGGACGCTACCAATAGCAAAATCAGATGCGTCCGTATGGACCTCAAAGACTTTGGAAAAGTCGGGCAAAGCTGAAACAGGCTCCTCCTTAATTGCTGATTTGAGACTCAAATGCGCCTTGACAAAAATCAGTCCACTCCCAAGAATGATCCTTCTTCAGCAAATCTGTGAGCGGAGCCGCAATTGCTGAATAGCCAAGAATGAATCGCCTGTAATAATTGGCAAGGCCAAGAAAGGACCGCAACTCGGTTACCTTCGTTGGGGCCTCCCAATCTCTGATCACCGCAACCTTTTTGCTATCCATACGAATCTGTCCCTGACTGATTGTATGCCCCAAAAATTGCACTTGAGGCTGGGCAAAAGAACACTTTTCCCTCTTCACGAACAAATCATTTTCCCTTAGAACTTGGAAAACTTTACGGAGGTGCTCAAGATGCTCCTCCATGCAGCTGCTATAAATCACAATGTCAAGATAGATGACCACAAATTGATCCAAAACGGGATGGAACAACTTGTGCATCAACGTGCTGAAAGTTGCGGGGGCGTCTGTTAAAACAAACGGCATCACCAACCATTCAAAAGCTCCATAACGTGTTACACAAGTCGTCTTTGGTTCATCTCCTTCGGCTATGCGAACTTGATAGTATCCTTTCCCCAAATCCATCTTGCTAAACACCTTGGCTTGGCCAAGACGATCAAACAAATCTGCTGTCAAAGGGATTGGATATTTGTTCTTCACCGTGACTTTGTTGAGAGCACGATAGTCTATGCACAATCGTAATGACCCATCTTGCTTCTTTTGGAACAAGACTGGTGCTCCAAATGGTGCCTTTGACGGTCTAACATGTCTCGCTTCAAGCAGCTCCTTCAGTTGCTTCCTCAATTCCTCCAATTCTGGAGGTGCCATGCGATACGGACCCATGGCGGGTGGCTTTGCTCCCGAAATCAGCTCTATTTGATAATCAACTTCCCTACGTGGTGTCAAACATTTGGGAAGTTCTTCGGGCATAACATCCTTGTTCTCCTCAAGAACTTGCTGCACACAAGGGAGCAAGGCTTCATCAACCTTGTCCTCTTCAATCTCTGAAACAGCAGCTAAAAATGTGGCTTCTCCTCTCTTGAAGCCCTTCACAATCTGCATCGCGGACAATTGACCCACGGCTTGCGGCACACGAACAGTTGGTACCACACAAGGACCCCTCGGACCCCAACTGTAAATCTGGTTGAAACCAGGAGAAATGATACCCATGACTTCATCCCAGTAGTCCAGACCAAGAACAATATCAAATACGTCCATGGGTGCAACGAAGAAGTTAATGCACCCCTGCCAGGCACCTAAGTTGAGCTGCACATTGCGAGCAACTCCGTTGACGTTGGTGAGATTGGCGTTGACTGTCTTCAGCAAAGAATTGCTAGGACTAAACACAAGGCCAAGTGATTTAGCCTTTGCTCCAGTCACAAAGTTGTGGGTTGCCCCGGTGTCCACCATGATGCGGACGGACTGTCCATTCAGCTTAGCATCGACGAACAGGGACCCTTTCTCCTTCAATCTGGGCTCCTTGCCCATCACAGCACCAAGTAAATTCTGACCCATTTGAGCAAGGTTAGGCTTGTCTTGAATAACCTGCTTTAAGGCAGGCTCCTTTGTCAGCAAAGCTCCAAGCATCATGTGGCCAAGATGAGCCACATCACGCTTCTCCGGAGCAGCAGGTTCACCAGCATGGGCAACACCTTGTGCAAGCCCCTTCCGTTTGCCTCTGTTCAGCAGCGATCAAGGCACCAAGCTTGCCTAAAGATGGACAATCTTTGTATTGATGGCTGGGGTCCTTGCAAAGATAGCAGCCATTGCGAGGACCGTTTGCCTTCTTCTTCTCATTGTACCTGTCCCGCCAGTGAGAACGGTGTTCTTCTCTTTTGAAATCACGACCCGTGTTGGCAGCAGCAACTTGCTTGCCTTTGTAGGCCTGATCTCCTCCCGGCTTGGTAAGCTTGTTCCTGGTGTCTTTGGCTTTTGTGGCTTCCGTCCTATAATCTGTTAAGGACTCAACAACGGCTATGGCTTCATCGACGTCTTTGACTTGACGTCGCTGCAACTCTTGCTTGGCCCAATTTTGAAGGCCATCCATGAAGTAGAATAGCAAGTCATCGCTGGACATGTTGGGAATCTGCAAAATTAGCTTGGTGAATTCCTTCACATACTCACGAATGGAAGTTGTTTGTTTGAGCTCCCTCAACTTTCGACGAGCCTCATTGACGACGTTTTGGGGGTAAAACTGCCGCCTAAGCTCAAACGTGAACAGCTCCCAGTCCCGGATGGAACAAATGCCCTTCTCTATATCAGCTTTCTTTCTTCGCCACTAAAGCATGGAGGTGTCGGCTAAGTACATGGTTGCTGCCCGGATCTTGGCAGCCTCATCAACAAGGTTTAAGTGCTCAAAGTAGTCCTCCATCTTCCAAATGAAGTTCTCAACGTCTTGAGCATTTCTTTCGCTCCTAAACTCTTTGGGTTTAGGGCCCTCGATCTTGGTTTCACGAACCAGCACCTGACCAGCGCCACCGACAAGTCTAGCTGTCTCTAGTTGTTGCTTGAGAGCCTCGATCTCTCCCTGCGACGCTGAAACAGCCTCGGTCAGCTTGAGCTCCAGGTTGGTTAGACCGTCCCTGTGCTCCTCGGTCAGCATATCTATGGCTTCCTTGACGTCCCCAATCTCCTCTAAGGCAGTGGACTCAAGCGAAGCGAAGTTGCCTTCAACAATTTCAATACGCTGGTTTAGGGCAGCTAAACCAGCCTCGGTTGGATCTATGTCTAGATGGCCTGGAACAGACACATCTCCTTCCCTGCCATGGCAAACCTCTTGTGGGGGTGGCTCATGAACCGCACCCTCACATGTTGTGCCTAGGGCATGATCTCGAACTTTGCTGGTTCCCCTATTCTACGGCTTCTGCCTTTTTTTTGGTGATTCGTCTCTGCCACGATTGTTGCCAAGACCAGCATCCTCTCCGTCGTTTGCCATGTTCTGTTGCCAAAGCTCTGATACCAATTGTCACGGGGCTAATTTCGACAAGCACCGTGAGGACAACTAGCTAGCTAAAACGCTACTGCTTAGTTTCGGTCCAAGTCCGGAATCAGCACAAAAACGTGCTAACAATGGCAAACACTTCTTACACACAAAGCTAGAAAGAAAATGAAGGAAGGCACACAAAAGGTTTTGGAGGCCAAGGCCAATTTTCTGATTATATTGAAGATAAAGGGAAATTTACAAGTAATGAGATGCCTTTGATGAAGGCCTTATACATCTATTTATAATGTCCAGCCACTAGTTGGCCTAAATTACAAAGAAAGACAAAGAAAAGGTGCTGCCAAGCATGCTGTAAAAGCTGTCAGGCTGTCAGGCAAGCTATAAAAGCTGTCAGGCATGCTTCAGTGGTACTCATTGCTGTTTTTTTGAACTTGTTCAGCCATGGCAGATTTGAATTTTTGGCAGCTAAGGCGGGAAAGCTCGGGATGAATCAGGCGGGTCGCATGTTTATACACTCATATACACCTTTATACAAACGTCTGTAGACGACTTCTTCCACGATTTTAAGTTACAATTCTTGTTCAAAATCAGTCCAAATCTCCATTTAATGACTTCAAATTTTATATACAACCTCCTATACTATTTCTAACAAGTCTAAATAACACTCACTCTAAAATTCTCACAAAATCAAATTCGAAATTTAAACCCACATATTTATGCTTGTTAAAAATCTAATTTTCACCGCCCAAATGGATTTGGTTTGTTGATCTAATATTTGAGTCACAATTTCTAATTAAAAAATGAGAAATTTTCATAAAGTACTATCTTTTAGTAGTAATTAGCCATCTATAGATACCATTTGCTATATTACGGATTATAGATACCTTTTATGTGTTTATAAGATGTATTTGATGTATTTAAGTTATTGTATTCATGAATACAGTAGCAAAAATAGGCGTGAATCAGGGAAGTCCAGCTAATCAGTTGTTGTATTCGAGTGTATTCGACTGTATTCATGGAGTAAACACATGGGATTACAGCTGGACAGATTATTGTATTCGACTGTATTCACGGCGTAAAATAAGGGATTACATTGTTTTTAAAACGGAAAGTAAATCAATTAACATAATGGACTCCTAATATAACTCAACAAACTCAATTATAACACACAAAATTTGTATTTTCAGTTATAAAAAAGATTCTCAACCGAAAAATATCCCAAAAACATAGCAATCTTCTGAGAAATTATATAATACATCTGAATACATAAATTATATTAATTAAAAAAAATATATGAATACATTCATGGCATATAGCGAGACAGTGAATACAATGAAATACATAGAATACAGCGGGATACATTGAAATACAATGAGAAAAAAGATAGTGAATACAATGAAATACATGGAATACAACGAGATACATTGAATTACAATGAAAAAAAAGACAATGAATACAATGAAATACATGAAAATACAGCGTGGTACGTTGAAAATACACTGAAATATATACAGAAAATCAAGTTGCTCAGCCCCAAAATCCGTCGTCTTTGTTCAAGAACAAACCCTAATTTCCGGCAATTAGCAATATACTCATTGTACACAACAGTCGCAGCCACACGACTGAAGCGGTGGCTACGCTTCATGTGTTCGAGAAATAAGCTCTCAAATCCGAATAGCCACCGACGATATGATTTGGGTTTTGACCGAAAATTTCCATTTGACGCTTATGAGATTCACTCATACAGTGGCACTTGAATCCGTTTTCGTCTCGACATTGCTTCTGACACATTGGCAGTACCATCATAGCTTGCATAAGCCCTTAGCTTTAATTCAATTGGCAACTGCTTTTGGGCTTAAAGAAATCGTATCAAACTAAAATCTATATCAATGGTTATTGTTTCAGAAACAAACTAAAATCTTTATCAAAATTAGAGAAACAAAATAATGATATCAAAATCTAAGAATTAAACTTACCCTAAGCACTTGTATCGGCTCTAAAACAGTGATTTTAGAGAGAAAAGAAATGGAGAGTGATAATGGCGGAGACCTAGAGAATTTGGGTGGGAGAAGAGGTATGAATCGTGAGTTTGTGGGAGAAGAGAGTAAAGTGTATGCAAAAAGAGAGAGAGAACGTGGTTAGAGCAGATATACGGTGATTATGTGAGAGAAAAGACTAAAAAGGAGAGAGAAAAATATTATCTAGCATATATGGTGCCTTAAATGTAGGATGTAACTATAATTAGATATTTTGCTATAAAGGATAAAAGGTATCTATAGGATGTAATATTTTAAAATGGTATTTATTTAAAATAAATAGGGTACTAAGGTTTTCTATAGGGTGTAAAATTTCCTTAAAAAATTAACTTAAAAGCTTGAGTAATCTTTTTTAAAAATTAAATAGTAATTTCGAGAATCTATTGGAGTTAAATGTTGAGTATTAGCCTATTATGTTTGGGCTAGTTAGTTGTAAATTGAAATATGTTCGCTATAAAATTGAAAAGTAGGGAGCTCAATTGTTCTTATGTGAAATTTTTCCTTTAAGAATGGCGCTATTTACCGTAAAGTTTGTGTGCATCTGCTTCAGAAGTTGCACTATTAACTGTGCTTTTACATGAACATGCCATCTATTCGTTTCTAGCATATAGTTTCTTACTTTAGGAGCTGTCTCTATTAGTTTGTAAATGGTTGTCTGATTTATTTTCAGTGCAAATCTAGGAAGATCAGATGCCACGGGGCGCGAGAAACCGAAACTTGCTCATTGCAAAGACGAATCTGTATTTGTTGCAGTCTTGATTATTGTGATATTAACTGGTGCTGTTACTTATTTGAAGTTGTGCTGCGTCTACGGTTCTCTGCATTCTTATTCAATTCTGGCCATCTGGACGCAAAATGATTGTTTTTTTTCCTTTCCCGTGCTTGGTAACATACATATAATTATGAAAGGGGGAAGCCTGTACCTAATTCAATAACCTATCTAATATCATGTGATTGCATGTGTGGCAATTAAACTGTAACCGTGGTGCTTAGATCATTTTTAGTTTCTACGTGTTCCTTCTCAGCTAATTTTAGAATGCCATTTTTTTTTGTTTCCCCTTCCAAATTTGGTTTTTGACGTTTTTTTTTACGGTTCTCTCTATTACAAGAAGTTTATCGTCGCCTCCATTGTTGTTGAAAATTCTTCTTTATTTTTTCAAATATACAGCCTGAATGAAACGTACCCTGGCAACAGGAGGAGCAATATTATATACTTTATAGAAATAGTTTGAGCTAGTAATTCTTCACAATAATTATTGACTGGTAACTTGAGATTTTTTTTTTGGTAAAAGGTTAGTGTTTACCCTAAAATTCGAGTAACAATTGAATTTATATTATGGTTTTAAAGATATGTGATTTAGTCCAATACCAATTGATAAATAAGGAATTAAATATATATGAATTGAATAATAAAGTAAATCAAATCAGTGTGCAAGCCAAGTCTTGACCTTGAGTTATGGTGGCCTCGAGGTAGGTTAGCAAGAACAATGAAATTATAAGGCGACTCTGACGAATAGTAAGCTCCGTCCTCCCTTACAAGTGAATGAGTTTCCCTTTATATAATAGAGGAGTCCTAAATAAGGTACACATCTAATTATAGTAATCTTATTAGACAATTGTCTAACCGCCAAGTACAAATCTGTTCCGGAATTTACGCTGGGGTCTTTGGGCCGTTGCCGGGATCCCGCTCTTTCTGTTGCTAAACCATAACGGTATTATCTCGAGGTTGGTCATACTCGGCCTTGGTTTTCATCGAGCACTTTGATCTTCAAGTTCAATACTCCGCCATCGGGCTCGAGTCAAGTCCCTTTTGAGCTTTTCCTCAGAGCAACTTCCCGAGCCTATGAAATCAGGTACTCCCGAGCCTACGAAATCAGGCATACCTGATTTTGACCGTATACAGTTAGTGTGTAGGTCGCATTATGCTGCAAAACAACCTAGCCAAAAGTCCTAAACCACTAATAAAACAGTAACAAAAGCTTTGGGGAGAAAAAAAAATGTAACGGGAAGGCTCTAACAGCCAATCCTCGACTCATTTCTCATCGAATTGAATTGCATGGAAGCTAGAAGACTAGTATCGTCGTGTTCAGAGATGAAATACATGATCTAGAGTCAACGTGTTAATATTCAGTATGATATATCTTATTATACGTATATATTTTAATTTTCTTTTCACATAAATACGCATATCGATTTGAAATAATGAATCCAGTAAAACTTACAAGACATGTCCTAAATCTTCCCATGAATTGCAGCGAGCATTGACACCACAATCTGTGGACCATGTCTAGCATAAATCGAGGTAATTAAAGAAATGATCAAATGAAAGATTGATGCATGGAATATTTACATAATTTCACCGATTCTTAAGCAGGGAACTAAGCATAGGAACAAATTTAACCCCCACTGAAAATCATTCAACAGAATGACTACTACTAGAAATCCGGAAAAAAGAGATCACGAAAAGCGACCAAAGTTGGTCGCTTATTGGCCAAAAAGCGACCAAAAAGCGACCAAACACGCCTGGTCGATATTAAGCTGGTCCCTTTACCTTAGGGACCAAAGTTGGTCGCTAATTAGCGACCAACTGGTCTCACAGGTAAAAGGACCAAATTTTCCGGGCAAAGCATATAACGACCAACTTTGGTTGCTCAAATATTTTAATATTATAAATTTTGCGACCAACATTGATCGCAAGATGTAAATAACGTTTTATTTTTACTTATTGTTAATCATATCAAGCGACCAACTTTGGTCGCTACATTAATAATTTTTATAATTTTTTATTTAATTGGCGACCAAAATTGGTCGCAAATGGCAAGAATTAATTTTTTCTAACTTTAAGCGACCAACGTTGGTAGCAAAATACCAGAATTGTTTTTTTAAAATAAAGTAGCGACCAAGACTGGTCGCTATTGCCCAGAAAATTATTTTTTTTAATTGAAAAGCGACCAACTG